AAAACATGACTTAGTACTTGGTGCAGAAACCCTGGTTGGCAAGCACAGAGGGAAGACATTTTTTTTGTAGTTGGTCACCAGGTTTGCACACATCTCAGGAGGGATTTTTATCCACTCCTCTTTACAGGCCCCTTTCTAAATCCTTAAGGTTTCTTGGCTCTCGAAGTCTCAGCTCCCTCCACAGATTTTCTATAGGATTGAGGTCTGGAGACTGGCTAGGCCACTCCATGACCTTAATGTGCTTCTTCTTGAGCCACTCCTTTGTTGCCTTGGCGGTATGTTTTGGGTCATTGTAATCATTGAAGACTTATCCATGACCCATCTTCAGTGTTCTGGCTGAGGGAAGGAGGCTCTCGTTCAAGATCAAGTCGTCCTGTACCCTTAGCAGAAAAACAGCCCCAAAGCATAATGTTTCCACCTCCGTGCTTGACTGTAGGGATGGTGTTCTTGGGATCATAGTCAGCATTTCTCTCCCTCCAAACACGGCGAGTCGAGTTAATGCCAAAGAGCTCAATTTTGGTCTCATCTGACCACAGCACTTTCTCCCAAGCCTTCTCTGAATGATTTAGATAAAGCACAATCTATATATAGGCCCAATAGGCACAATATACCCTTCGACGCATAAAGTCCACTGGAGTGGACAGATGTATTTTCTGTCACCGAAAAAAAATGTACAAGAAAAATATTATTAAAATCTGGATAAAAGTATTTCTAACATCTTATTTAGCTGGAAAATAGTTTTGTACCTGTCTGGTTTTCTGTGAATGAAAGGATTTAACACTTATTCCTGAGGTACTTGGTGCATCTCCTGTTCCCACCACCATTTTGAATGTATTATGCAATATCTCAAAACAAAAAAGAGATACAAAGACAATAATTAAATGGAATCGTAGACAACACTTTGAGGGTTCACAAGTTGGAGGTTGGGATATGGTGCTACAAATTAAATGGTTCAAATTGATTTCCAAATATCTGTCCACTGTAGTGGACGCCATGCATGAAAGGGTTAAGGACTGTTGCTCTGCAGCTGTCTTCTAGCCACATTTCATTTAGAAACAAAAATCCAGGTTGTTCATTGTTATTAAGTCACTGACCAGAAGTGATTTATTTTTAAGTGAGAGGATGTTTAAAAATGTTAACTTGACAGTTTTACTTTTTGTCCCCAATGCAATCTTAGTTTGATGCATAATAGGCAGCAGATTAGCTGGATCCTTGTCCAATAGTGTTTGGGGATTTCTCACCCACATTCATTAATGCTTCAAATCTGTTCTCAAGATATATAAGGGGTGGTAGGATACCAGTGTTTTCAAGCCTTGTCATAGGTGTATCTGTGGCAGAGGATGCTGCTGCGGCAATGTGTGGTACTCTTGAAAATCTGATGTCTCAATTGCCTTTGGGTCTCGCTCTCTGTTTGTGCCAAGGATTTGTGTGGCGATCAGTCTGTTCATGTGGCGATCAGTTGTGTTGATCAGCTTGTTCCTCTATACTCAGTATGGCCTGTTGAGGTTCACTAGATTCACGGGACTCACTGGCTGTATGATGAGGGGGTCCATGACGAAGCTCTGCTGTGTGTTCTGCCTTTGGTAGTCCCTCAAGTAACTTTGTTTCAATCCATTGTAGAAGTCTGTAGCAGTTTTTGCAGCAAGTAGATTCTTGAGCCTGAAGAGGCATTTTTTTTCCTTGTCTGTTTGAATGCAGGCAGCTGTGTTTTCCCATCTCTGGAATGTAAGCTGTTGGTAATCGGAGTCTGTTAGACAAAAAATTCTTCTTATTTGTAGTATTATTCCAGTCCCGAAAAGTTTCTAGTTTTAGTATTGGTGCCAAACTGTATGCAGTTTGAGTCAAATGGTTCGAAAGTTACCCTAAGAACTAATCCGATGTTTGTTCCTAAGGTCAGGGACACAACAGGAGCAAACAGATCTGTGAAACTGTTAGCATTCTTTCCACCAACTTTGAATGGTTACACTGTCTATGCCCAATTTGCTCTCTGCATTTTTACATGCAGAAGACGGAATTGTTACAAAAAAGCAATCAGCTCTTCATCTCTTGGGCTGACCTTTTTTCAGCGGCTTTCTCACTGGGTGGTAAATGTGATTGTAATGTGTTACACGTAAATTTACAATCTTCACCAGGGCTTCGGGCTCACTCCACTAGAGGAATGGCTACTTCTATTCAGGACAGTTGTGCTGCGGTGAATTGGGCATCACTGGAGTCATCTCTGGCTCATTCAGTGCTTGGAGTGGGACTGATTCCTGATATGTCATAGCACTTTACTCGGGGCATTCACACATATTATTATATATTTTTATGTAGTTACGAATAAAAGCGCAAAGTGAAACTACAGTTATTTGTCCTGCTGCACCTGAAGCGCGCCCGTTGGGTTTTATGTGTTATAGCTATATGAGCAATATCTTTGGATCTCATCGACAGATTAGATGACGTTATGAATGAAAAAGCAACATGAAGCATAGAGCTGTTTTTCTTTGCAGCGCCTCAGTGCGCCTCTCTGCTTTCATGTGTTACAGCTCTATGAAAGAAATCTTTCGATCTGATCGACGGATTATGGATTATGGCTAAACTACATGATCTAATTCTTTTCTATGCGTTATAGCTTTATGAGAGATATCTTTAGATCTAAACAATGGATTATGGTGAGTTTGGGCTCTTTTTAATCGGGAGAATTTTCTGCAAATAATGACATGTAGTTTTCTATGATATATGCATGTTTCATGAAGTTATGAGCGAAAACGCTACATGACAGCTATAGATTTTTGGCTAAACTACATGCTGCCTGTGCAGTTTTATGTGTGTTATAAATTCATGAGGAAAATCTATAGATAAATGACAGATTATAGTGGCTCTTTTTAATCAGAAGAATCTGCTCTAAATAATGGTGCCTAATTTTCCATGATCTGATCATGTTTTATGAAGTTACAAGTTAAACGGTGACATCAATATATTATTTTCATATGGGTCTGGGGGTGACTTCTTGTACAAAAACTCACTCCGGTTTATGCAAAGCCCCAAACAATTATGCTTGTTTTATTCTACTTGATGGGACCTTTCAAATGACATATGACACATGACTATCCGAGCTGTATGATATTTTTGACATATCAGAGTACATGGCACAAAAAAACATATTTTGTAAATTATGAATTTTTTTTTGTCATTTATCAGCAAATAACTCGGCACTACTTTGGAGTTAAGGCACTACTTTGGAGCGCTCGTTAAGAGTTGATCAAAATACATTAATTTTGTATTTTGTAAAAAACAACAAATTACATTAATTAAAAAGCTGAGATTCTAAGCTTTAAAATGATACCTATTTTGTGTTATTCCATTCAGGAGTTGCTTAGTAATTTGATTTTGAATTTTTTCGTGCAGGTGGTGTCCCGCCTCGGGTTTATTAAGCAGAAGTATTTCGAATGAGTTAAACCTGTATCCTGTTTTCTGAGTAACATTGAGAATATCACTATATATTGTTGCAACACCGCCGCCATGACCAATCTGACAGGGTGCATGTTTATAACAGTAGCTTGGTGGAGTAGACTCATTTAGACCAATATAGTAATTTGGTTTGAGCCAGGTTTCAGTCAATCAGAGTACATCAAAACTATGCTCTGTGGTCATTTCATTTACAATAACTGCTTTGGGTGCAAGTGATCTAATGTTTAAGTTAAAAAATAGTTTTTGTTAATTTATTTTGCTTTTTTTTTTGGTTTAATCACAATCAGGTTTTTTCTAGATCCTGCATTAAATTTATATTTTGACCTCACTACGATTAAGAGTTTATAATAATAAAACATTATTTTCAGTTAGCCCTTAAGTATATTATTTCCATAAAAATTATTATTTTAAAAATTATGTTAGAGTGTACTTTTTCACAAGATATGCATTATGTTGTACTCCTCAGAAAATGATTAATGACATTCAGTCAAAACAAGAGGCCAAAGTGGAGAAAAGAATCAAGGAGTTTATTGATATGGAGCAACTGGTCTTCACCCAGGACAAGGTATTACAAAGGAAACTCGACAACTCTGATATCCCACAGAAAGCTATGATGGACCCTGACACTAACGTCTATGATGATGAGAACAAGATTTTTAATTCCAAAGGCTGTGCATTGTTGGATACAAGAAACCTAGTTCCAGACAAACTGGTTCTCTATTATGAGGTGGGTTGCAACTCTTACTATGACATGTATTTATTTGTTGACAGTGACAGTATTAAGTCATAAATTTACACGCTGTAAAAATGTGATAAACAGCTAATTTATCTTGTAAGAATGTTATGTATAAACTTTCAGGATCAATAAAGTGAGGATCCTAATGTGAGTACTATCACCTTTTATTAAAATACACTGCAAACTTAAGCAAAGCAGATTGGTCAGATAAAAGTGGTGCAGGAGAAGTCTTTAGCTGGCCTTGGTAGATACAACACCACACAACAAGGAAGAATGAACACACGGTCCTGTGAACGGTGACATACACTTTAATATCAGAAGGGGCTTTAAAGGTAAAGTGTGTAATTTCTGCTCCACTAGTGTCACCAAAAGAAATTGCAAACAGCCAACCTATCTGGCATTGGTAGACCGCAAGATAGTCCTGGCCCAAAATGCTGGATGCTCAAACAATATTATGTTATGTTTTAATTTCATCACAGAGCCAGTGTTTACACATTTCAGGGGAATCGTTCTACAAATGGCTTATTTAGTAGTAAATTATAGTAAAATAAATGTTCTTTCTTCCCAATTCACTCAACTCATGATGCGATACGATTCACAATACTAATGTCACCATAATTTTATTACACTTTTTTAAACAAAATGAGATTTGAGACAAATTATAAATGAAAAGGTGTCCTTTTATTCTAACAAAAAGCAGCACGTTTCTTTTTTAAATTGAAATACGTCAAGTAACAAAACTAAATAGAAATTTTAAAACAAATCCCAAATCAAATAAATAAATAATACAAATGAAAAACTCTCTGAAATCTCAAACTAAAGGTTTGCCTGTGTGCTTTCCATTTAAAATTAGAGGCAACCAATGCATTTTAATCACAATCCAAACAAAGCAGTTCCCTTTCGAACGGTCTCTCCAGTTGCGTCAAGGACGCTTATGGGGAAATACTCTGAATACTGAAGCCTGATTTGTTCACGTTCACGTAGTTGCACGAACAAATGGCGTTTCAACCCACCAAAAGGGGTGGAGCCGACTGCTACATAAGTCGGCTCTGAGCACCATTTCATCAGAATTTTTCTCCTTCAGTGCGAAGAACATTTCCTCTCTGGACTCTGAAGAAGCAGCAATAAGCTGAAGCAAGAGGCTCAGCCTGACTGCTCGCCGTAGAAGATCCCCGGCAGCAGAAGATCGCCAACAAGCCTTTCCCTGTGGCTATCCGGCGAATAAGAACAATTTCAGAGCAAATTTCCTGCAAATTTCTTGTGACGTTGCAAATGCAGCATCCACACAGAGGCTACACTCACCGGGACAGAGTGCTCTCATTGTGTTGGGCGTGTTCCAGCGAAAATCCCGACACCCTCCCTCCGATGCAACTAACACGGCCCAGTGTGGACAGCGAGCTGATCCACGTTCTCACTAAGGCTGTGGATCTCGGCCTAGATTGGTCGGCTCCAGAAGAGCCCGGCCGGGGCCTCCTAGATGAGTGGTACTTGAAGGAATGCTGTCAACGGATCCTTCCACCCATGGCCCGCCCCGTTCTTCCTGGAAGTTCACGAAGAACTCACCAGGACGTGGCGCGCCCCCTACTCGGCACGTGTTAATCCCTCCACAAGAACGAGGTTGTGACAAGCTCCTCTCTCTCGAAGAGGCAGTGGCTGCACATCTGTGCCCTCCATCGGCCCTAGAGTTGAAAGCCCATTCAGTGCAGGCACTTCCTGCCAAACCGCTACAGGTCGGCGACTGTTTCAAGTCGCCAGAAGGCTCTATCCTCCCGGCAGCCTACTAAGCCGGTGCCGCCTCCGACCCAGCCTAAGTCTGATCCTGGGCTTCAGCAGCACCCCCGGATGGGAAAACACTACCCGTTTTCTAGGCGTCAAGGTCCCTGCCCCAGATTGACGTTGTACCCTGAGCCAAAGAAGCCGTCCTGATCCCAATGCAGAGAGGAAGAGGAGAGGGCCTGTTCTCACCGAGGCCAGGACACCCTCAAAAAAGTCTCAAACTCTATCTCCATTCCGCTGCATAGCTCTGAGTGATTTAAGCTCTGTACAGGCTGGGCCAGTCCTTCTCACTCAGCGCGCCCAAGCAAACTACCGCTGTGATAGCGGACCCACATACTCAAAAGAGCACTTCTCCTCTCCTCATTACCATGAATGGCGGTTAACCTCCATGCAGAGCCACCTGCCACTCGAGAGACTCATGCCACTTGCCATTCGGCTCCAGGCTTGGAAAGCCATTCCGGATGTGTCAAGCTGGGTTCTAAAAACCATAGAACGAGGTTACTGCTCCAGTTCGCTTGCAGCCCACCTTGCTTCAGAGCTATCATTTAAACATCGGTACAGGACAACGATGCTCACAATCTCCGGTCGCAGTGCAAACTCTGCATGCAAAAGGAGCCGTTGAAATGGTTCCTCTAGTGAACTGCGAGTCAGGCTTTTACAGCCGCTACTTTCTCATTCCCAATAAAGATGGTGGGCTTAGGCATATCCTCAATCTCAGGCATCTGAACCGCATGCTAATGAGATGCCCATTCAAGATGCTGACTTTAAAGCAGATCCTAGTGCATATATGCCCCCGGACTGGTTTTTATCAGTGGATCTGAAAGACGCTTGCTTTCACATCCAGATAGCCCATCATCACACACTTGAAATTCACGTTTGAGGGGGTGGCTTATCAATATACAGTCCTATTATTCGGACTGTCTCTGGCCCCACATACTTTTACGAAGTGCATGGACGAAGTGCTCTTTCCCCTTTGAGGCAGATGGGAATCCGCATTATGAATTACCTAGACGATTGGCTGGTCTTAGCCAGATTGGAAAAGGAACGACAGTTATCGATTCAGCCCAGATGCGGACATTTATTATGCCGGAATGCTCCCTGATAATTAAGCTGCATCATTCAGGCTTGGGATTTCGTGTCCCCACAGGGTTTTCCAGAGGATACTCAGCCTCATGTCAGCTGCTTCCTCTGTGATTCCTCATGGGCCTGCCCATGTCCTGTCCCATGCTTGGTACCTGGGACATTTTCATCTCAGGGTAACCCACTGCTGCATCAGAGCTGTGGACCCTTGGAAAACCCCTCGCCTGTTTCAATCAGGCATCCCGTTGGGACTGACCTCCAAAAGGAAGGTGGTCACAACAGATGCCTCCAACTCGGGTTGGGGCTCTTTGTACGAGAGCAGACCAGCATTCGGCTCCTGGTCAAACCTTGGAGCAACGCTTGCCTTGAGATGATGGTGGTCTTTCTAGCTCTAAAATCCTTCTCCTGGTCTTAAAGGGTCAGCCTTTATAAATCACCAAGTCGGCCTCCCTTCACATTTTGGCTTGATGCCTTCTTTTATGGGCACAGTGCAACCTCCTCGCTGAGGGCAGTTCATGTGCTGGACAGACTGAACCAAGGAGCGGACATGCTGTCCAGGGGCAGTTTAGCAACAGGAGAAGGGAGACTGCATCCCCAAATGGTTCAGACGATTTGGTCTGTCTTCGGGAGGGCAGAGGTGGACCAGACGAGGTCTGGTTGACTCAGGTCAACAGACGAGTCAGGGAAGTCAGATGCTTGGTCCTCCTGGTGGCTCCACTCTGGAGGAATCAGATGTGGTTCTCAGAGTTGATTCAGCTGCTATCAGCAGCCCCCTAGTCAATACCATTGAGGACAGACCTCCTCTCTCAAGCGAGAGGCATGATTTGGCATCCCCGGCCCAAGCTTTGGAGCCTTCATGTCTGGCCCCTCTTTGACGGAAGTCATTACAGCTCACCGCGAGTGTGACTAATACCATTTTGGAGGCTAGAGCCCAGTCTATGAGATGCTTTTGACTGTTGTGCAGCACAGAATGAGGACCCGTTCTTTTGTGATGTGTCATCCATGTTAACCTTTCTACAAGAGCTGCTGTATAAGGAGTGCACCCCTTCCACACTCAAAGTATGTGTGACAGCCATCGTGGCGAATCATGCTCTTGTGGCTGGTCAGTCAGTCGGCAGAAACAACATTGTCATTAAGTTTCTGAAGAGAGCTCGGTGATTGAATCCGCCTTGTCCTCATGCTGTGCTGACCTGGGACTTATTTATAGTCCTCAGGGACCTACGGGGCCCTCCCTTCGAAGCCACTCCAGTCGGCTGATTTGCGGCCTGTCACTTAAGACTGCCCTCCTTTTTGGCTTTAGCATCTGTCAAGCGAGTGGGTGACCTGCAAGCACTGTCAGTGCTTCATGTCTTGAGTTTGGGACTAAGAACAGTAGAGTCACCATCAAACCAAGACATGGCTATGTGCCTAAGGTGCTCTCCACTTCGTTCAGAGCACAAGCCATTACCCTTCTGGCTCTTCCTAATTTAGAGGATGAGCAGGGTCCCAATCCAGTGTAGAGTGTATCTTTATCGCTCTGGCCCATTTCGGCACTCAGACCAGCTCTTTGTATGCTTGGGGATGCTACAGCCTTGGTCCAGCGGGATGTCTATCGGTGATATCTGTGTGGCCGCCGGCTGGTTGTCGCTGTCCACCTTCACCAGTTTCTGTAACTTGGACGTCCCTGCCCTCCGGGCACGGATTTTGTCCACTTAAGTTTACCTAATCCTCTCTGTAAGTGGAGAACGTTTTGTTATGTAGTCCTCAGCCTAGTAACTTGGGTCTCATAATTAGTTCATGCTTGCAGGAACCCTCAGTACGGGCGCTCCGGGGCTGGGTTCGCAGAGTGGCTTTCGTTTGCACTTGCTTATTGCATAATGCTATTGGATGCATTCCAGTTACTAACGTAACCTCGGTTCCCTGAGATACGGGAACGAGCGTTGCATACTCTGCCGTGCTATAAGGCTGCATGTGAGTCGATGACTGTCACTATCAGTCTAAAGATTCTGACAAAATGGCACTCAGAGCCAACTTATAGACCAATTATAGGTTTGTAAACATTCAGGATGCGCGCGCATCATGGTTGCAGAAAACCCGGGAGAGATAGCCTTTACGTCTAGAGAATTTCATGGATAGGGTACAAAATAGTTAGGTTTAAAAAGATTATAAATTATATTGATTAGATGTCATTTTCAAAATGTTCTCCGCATATTACAAGAGCTTGTCACCCAGCGATAAGCACTGTTATTCAACGAAATTGACGTTAGAGAGTGGGATAGTCTTACAGATCAGAAACAGGGATGACGTTTTTGTGGGCGGAGCCTATCTGGAGGCAGATGGTTTTCAAGTGGCAGTCTATGGAGCCATGGAATAAAAGAATAAAAAAAAGGTAAATTTGATTTTATATTTCAAAATGCTGACTTTATTCTTGCAATTCCGAGATTATGTCTCACAATTCTAATAAGGAAAAACAACTCGTCATTCTCTCTTTTCCCCTCGGCTCTTCTGGCTTTTTGATGAAATGGTGCTCAGAGCCGACTTATGTAGCAGTCGGCTCCACCCCTTTTGGTGGGCTGAAACGCCATTTGTTCGTGCAGCTACACAAACGTGAACAAATCAGGCTTCAGTATTTAGAGTAAACATCATGTATCTCAGAGAACCGAGGTTACATTAGTAACCTGAGTGTTTTTGAGATTGTATAATTTTGAAATTTGAATAAAAAACAGAATGGTCTGGCTTTAGCTTTATGAAATAATGCTGCATAAAACATCTGAATAAAACAAAAACATCAGATAGGCTGAATGAGACACAAATTCACACTCTGACCACAGGTGGCACTTATGGAACAGCAGTAATATAGCGTATCCTTGGTTACCGCTGAAAATGAAACAATGCTGCACTTATAAATATTACTTTGATATGCCTTATACAGAGGCAAGTAGAGGTCTACACGGAGGACCCGAGACCCGACCCGGGATCCGTACGGGTTCGGGGCTATATTTTAAATGGTCAGCCGGGTCCGGGTCGGGTCCCAATCTATTACTTCGGGTCCCGGGTCTGTTTAACATTGTGTGTAATACCCGAGTCGATCGGACTCGGAGAACACCCGGCCGTTATCAGAGTCAGTCAGCTCTGTGTGTGTTGTTTTGTAACTTTCAACTTGTAAAATTAGGATGAGAAGAACTTTCTTGGCAAGGAGGATTGTGTGCATCAGTCAGGTACAAGGGAGAAGGCTTCTTACATTAGGTAAGACAAAAAGTTTAATTTTCGCAACTTGTTTATCGACTTGTTAATAGCAATTTGCTGTGGAATATGTGCCGATCGGGTCCAGTCGGGTCTGTGTCTTCCCGGCCGGGTTCGGGTCCATCTTTCAAATAATTGACGGTCCGTGTCGGTTCCGGGTAGTACATTTTTTACATTTCTCGGTTCTGCACGGGCCCGGGTCCAACTTTCAAAATAATAGACGTTCCGGGTCGGTTCAGTGTAGCACATTTACGGGTCTCTTCGGGTTCGGGTACGAATTTTTGGACCCGTGTAGACCTCTAGAGGCAAGGTTTAAAGAAAATACCATCTAAACTTTTCTGAAGACAGTCAGTTCCCCTCAGCAATACATTCATAAACTCCCACCCCCAAATGTATCGCGATTCATTTAACATATCAACTGACTTGAATCGGCATATTTTCACACATATTTTCATCAATTTTCAACCAGCTTGGGGTGCATTGTTACATACCTAATTAGGAACCATTAACATCCATGTGACCTTTTCATTTTACAAAGGTCCTTGTAGTGTGGAAAAGGTTCCTGGACTATTAACAGGTTCTTCACACTAAGAAAAAAATTGTTGTTTAAATAACTTTTCAGTGAAAAGGTTCTTTGGGGAACCAAAAATGGTTCTTATGTAGCATAATGTAAAAACCCCATTTGGTTTTACATAGCATGTTTATTTTTAAGAGTGGAATAGGTGATGATGATCATTTAATAACTATTTAACTAATTGAGTCTGTATGTGCACCCAAACCACACATTGCCAGTGCAATGGTACTAGAGGTTCACCAAAGAGATCAAAGGGCAACCAACCTCAGATTTCAAAGTGGATGTTATAATTAATGTCCTGTCTCCATATAGGTTGTCTATCAGCGTCTCACAGACTATGTGCCCATGCTGATAATCCTCTTCATGCTGAAGGATGCAGCTAAGATATTACGGCATCAAATGCTAGAACTGAGGAACGAAGCAGATGTGGTCAAACTGTTGAGTGAAGACTCAGACCGAGGGCGAAGGAGAGCAGATCTAAAGCAGCGTCTGGAGCGCCTCACACAAGCTCAAGAACTGATAAGCAACAGACTCTGAGACAATTTTATTAAACATCAGGGGTATAAATACATGTAGCATCAGGGCTACAGAAATTTAAGTTCCGTAATTTTACCCATCATTGAAATCAGTAACACACAATTTAAGATACATGTCTCAAATTGCCTTTAGAGTAACTAATTCTATTATATTTTACTGAATTTTATTGTAATGTATTTTTGTTGACCAAAACCCAGAAATTAATTATGTAGCATTTTAGCACTTCAAAGAGCTAAATGCTCACAAAGCATCAGGAGAACGTCAGTAATCAGTGCTATACAAATTATGTATTGATGTTATCTATGAAATTAAGATTAAATGTTGCCATTGATTTGAAAGATTTCCTAGAACATTAAGTATAGGTATGAGAGATGTGAATACATGACTGATATTGTCAGAGTATGAGTGGTAATAACTGTAATGTTGACCCTCTGTATTTTTGGCTCAAATTATTTAGCAGACAATAAATTTAATCATTTAACCTTAAGGAGTCTTTGTGAGAATTTCCATATATATATATATAATAATACACACACACACTTCTGCTGTAATATTACACAACTGAGCTTTTTTCTCCGTCAGAAATGTCCTCTACCGTGTATCTATAAAAATACTCTCCAGTCCAAAAAGGAATAAATAAATAAAATTAATTATATATATATATATATATATATAAATGGTACTAAAAAAAGTGAATGAGTTGGAGCATCATAAACAACAGATAAACTGCTGTTTCTCTGTTAAATGATGCTAACAAAGACAGGAATCTTAAAGTGAAGAAATCCAAAAATGAAAATTTTACTCACCCTCAGGGCATCCAACATGTAGGCGACTTTGACCCACTGTTGACTTCTGACAACATTGTTAGACATCATATTCAATTCAGCTATAAATCAGTTCATTAGTCTTTATTCAGCTTAATAATTCTTTAAAAATCCTACAATGTGATTTTCTGGATTTTTTTTTCTCATTTTGTCTCTCATAGTTGAGGTATACCTATGATGAAAATTACAGGCCTCTCTCATCTTTTTAAGTGGGAGAACTTGCACAATTGGTGGCTGACTAAATACTTTTACACACAGGCATATATGTTTATAATGGAAGAATAACTGGATATATAAATGGCTAGATTCGCCTTGTTTATACTTGATTAATTCATACTTTGATTAATAAAAATCTTCGACAGTACTCACTGGGATTTGAAACCAATGAGCTTGGCATTGCTATTAAAATTGTTAAATAATCTAAATGCTCTTGCCTGCATACTCTTCTCACAGCCACACATGGATTATGCCCCAACTTCTTGAGCATTAAGGGGGCTAAGTCTAGTAGTTAGAAAGGGGAACTTCGATTGACCTCCTTAACATGGGTTTGGTCAATTCAGATAAAATACAGCCCAGATAAGGTTGATAAGGTATCACAGTTATTTACCTTTAATAAACAATAAGCCTTCATTGTGTTCCCTTTTCCAGCTTTTTACACTTCAGTTCATGCATCTGGTACATGAGACTACAAAGGCATTTGGAGTACATGAGACATTTATTGCATTTAATATAAACATTTGATAACTCCTCAGTAACAATAATTGGAATGGGATGAATGGACTGAATATGTAACAGGGTGCCTTTGAGAAACTATGGGATGTTGTCCTAAGTTTTCATGGCTTGTTTTATAAAATATATGATTGCTCATATAGCTTTTTGAATATCTAAATCTGAATTTAGGAAATGTATGCATCGTCAAGTAATCTCTTTCCATTATGAACATAGATTATAGAGTAATTAATGAGAAAATTTTAATACACTCAAAAAGTGTAAGCCAACAGCTAATTGATGCTACAACAATCAATTATGATGCTACTATAGGCTAATTTATTTCTTTTTAATCCATAACCCCAACTAAAATATTTCACGGGGTTACTTTATGGCTCATTATTATATGATAAAGATGTCCAAGGAGTATTTCAGTTATCTGATGAAGAGTTATTAGACATTTTGGAAAAAAAAAAAACTTTAACCCTCAGGCATCCTTCGGGACAAATGTGGGCAAAATCTTTTTTTTTTTTTTTATACTTTCCTTAATCTGAGCCAGAGGCGGCCTTACCCATTAGGCAAAGGTAGGCAACCGACTTGGACCCCCAAAAGCCAAGGGCCCCCTACAATTATTTTTATATACGAAATGCACATTAGGTGTAGACACGCAAATGGTTGCTGTTTACGTTGTTTATCACCACGACAACCATCTGCGTGTCCGAGTTGAACGTGCTTCTTGTGTATCCTGCTTGGAGCAAAAGAAAATATCATGCATTTGAAGCTGTAAATAAATATTGAGCAAAAGTGAATATTATATGTTTATTGCTTTAAATGCCGCTTAAGCCGGGCTCAGACTACAGGAGTTTTAAAATCCTAACCAGTGGTGGAAAGAGTACTGAAAATTTGTACTTGAGTACAAGTACTGTTACATTGCTGAAATAATACTCAATTACAAGTAAAAGTACTGGTGTCAAAGTACAAGTAAAAGTACAAAGTACTCCTCTAAAAAACTACTCAGAGTACTAGCTACTAGTTACTTTTTAGCCGGCGATATTTAATGAATTACCAAAAAATATGTGGATAATAGCTACTTTGAACAAACCCACTTTTATCTTATTGATAAAGTACGTGAATTAGTGGTCATGATGCAGGAATTTCTAACTTCAGTACCTTGAAAAATATCAGTATCAAAGTACACGTGAACCGGAAGTTGCAACTGACTTCAGTGTTGTGATGTATTTCCAAGTGAAACGGAATATTGAATAAAGGGCCATAGCAGATTCACGGTTGGATAGGAGTGGTTAAGAATATCTGCTCGTTACAACTGGCATCACGCTTCACCGCTTCTGGGTCCTAATGCTCTGCCAGACGCCCGAAGAAAACACCAAACTGTGCTAATATACACCCACGATATCATGTAATACTGAAAAATTATAACCCTAACCATTATCTCCATACTGAAATCCCAGATGGCCAGACAGTGATTCAGCTAAAATATTAGTGTCTGAGACACTGTGAGCACGAAGACTGTAGTGTGCACAGCAAATTTTTAAATGCTTATGTAACCCAGGTTACCAACACTCAACTGAGCTGGGAGTAGATATTTTCATGAGCTCTGAAACGGCCAATAGGAGTATATTGTAAATTGAAGAATTGACCAATTACGAGTGAGAATGTTGGATAGCATTTTTCGCACGTGCTTAGTGCGTGCTTTCTCTCTCTCTCTCGCTCTCTCTCTCCCTGTCCCTCTCTCTCTCTCTTGTTTCGTCGGAACAGAAGTGAACGGAGGCGTTTCAGGTCTCTCCGATTAAAATGTAAGAATTTGATTAATCGAGTAGAAATATTTGATTAAAAACCGAGTGATATTCGCCCAGAGACACTGTATCGAGACTAGAAGTAAAGTTGATGTAAAAAGAGACTGTTAAGTCATTTTGGTATCACGCGATTGCAGAGAGGAGGCCTCGAGATGAAATGAGTAGAGGCATGGACCCGGAAACAGCAGTCCTTACGTCATACTTAACAAGAGGATTCTCCCAAAGCCGTCAAACTGACATCATCAGAGTGAGAACGCCATTCCAGAGCGGAAGCGACGACAGACAATTTTTTCAAGTGTATTGACTTGCATGGTTCAATTGTTCACCACAAGACTAGTAATGTGCACTAAAAAATAAAGTAGGGTAATTTCTGATTTCATGAAGACTAATCATTTTCAATACCATTGGCAAAACTACCACATACATGTACTGTATACTGCCATATGGATATTTTTTTTGTCCATCCATTTTTTTCAAGGCAATCGTTATTTCAAGTTTTGAAATTGGTTTAATCCAAGTCTTCTAAAAAGACACATTCGCTTTATATGATGAACAGATTTTAATATAGGCTTTTATTTACATGCATATAAACATTGATCAATCACCATTACAAAAATCTCAATCTTAAACATTTGCTCATACTGTGTATTTGTGTCTTTAAAATAGGGTAACTTTGTTGCAAAAGATTACAGCACAAGGAAGCTTGATTTCAAATTTGATTTCTAACTGAATTGAATTTACAAAAAAAGACAAGTACACAGTCAGTAATAAAATGATAAAACAAATTACCTCAATTCAGTTTGAGGTATTCAAAATATGACAACACTGATTTTTTTATAAGCAGGATTTAAGAGCCATATACAGTATGTTAGGCCTATTTATTTAGATACATGGAACATCAGATGGCTTTGACCTGTAATGTACAATGTAGTGATGCAGTTAGGCAGATTAGGATATTTATATGTACAAATCAGACAAATATCCCATTCCAAAACATTTCTAGCATAAACTTACATTGTAAAGAAATTAAAGTTCCAGCTTTGATTGTTAAAAGACTTTCTGGTGCATTTCACTTACAGCCAATAAAATTTCCAGTAGGATTTTCATAGGTCAGGCGTGGATCTATTCTGAATGGTTGATAATTTTTGACAAAGTTTAATCCAGGAGCAAAGAGAAATCATTTCTACTTTAAAAGCACGGAGAGATCGCGATTGCACAGTCTGAATGCGCACAAGCAATATCGTGAGAGTGAGAGGACAGGCAGTTCATTTGTATAAGTTAGGCCTATTTGAGAGCTCGCATCCAGTTTTCTGCGATTACATGACTGTGTTCTCATGTTACAATAAAGCACTCGCCACTTTTGCGCGGGAATGATTAAAATTATGCGGAATACCTGCAATCCCGCGCGGATATTCAGACTCTGTAATTGACAGGAGGCGATGCGTGTCAAACTCACTGTCGGAGAGGAAAGAGAGACGCAGCTTATATCGGTGTATATTCGGTAGATACTGTGGAAAATGAGTAATTGAACTGTGTCAGATATTTCAGTATCAGTATCAAAATATAGATATTTATGATAACACTACCATGTAGTTTGTTTCTCCAACCGGATATAATTGGCTACTAAAGTGCCGTCAAAGGTTTGAATATCAATTCAAATTGTGGGCGTACTCAGTAACGAACTAT